ATCTATCTATCTATCTATCTATCTATCTATCTATCATCTATCTATCTATCTATCTATCTATCTACCTACCTACCTACCTACCTACCTACCTACCTATCTACCTATTATATCACAGAATAACTGGGCAACTTACAATCACATTCATGCACAAACAGAGAAACATACACAAATCTATGCATGTGTGTGTGTGTTTATAGATGTCCGTGTGATAGAGGGGGGGGGCCTTTGGGAAAAGCCCACTCACCGCAGCTCCTGCCGAACCTCGAAGACGGTGTGTCCCGCGATGACAAAGACCTCCGTCATTTCGTCCGTCAGCATCTTGCAGGAGTAACCGATATTGACCGCCGTCTCTGGGGAAGGGGAGGGCAGGGGGGAGGGGCCATCAAGCCAAACTCTCCTTCGGCTCCGGTTGGACTACAAGTCCCATATTTATCCCCCCCCCCTTCTTTCCCTTCTTTAGATGGGCATCAGCACCTTGGGGACACCCAGGGTTCGGAGGTAGGAGAGAAATAAACCACGTTTTCCTCCCACCCCCCACCCCACCCCCCAAAAAAACCCCTTACAAGCTCACAAAAAGTGGAATTGCAAAAGAAAGATTTGAAGAAAGAAGACACAAAAAGTAGAAAGGCAAAATAAAAGCACAAAGCACAAAAAGAGAAAGGAACTACACAAAGAAAACTTAAAGAAAATACACACACACACACACCAAGGAAAACATGAAGAGAAGAAAGAAACCACGTTTAAAAATATCCATTAAAAGAATCAAGAGAGGAAGGAAGGAAGGAAGGAAGGAAGGAAGGAAGGAAGGAAGGAAGGAGGGAAGGAAGGAAGGAAGGAAACTGGGAAGGAAGGAAATTGGGGGGGGAGGGAAGGAAAGAAAGAAAGAAAGAAAGAAAGAGAGGGGGAGAGAAAGAAAGAAGAAAGGAGGCGGAAAGAAAATTGAGAGGGGGGAAGGAAGGAACGGGAAAGAAAGAGAGAGAGGGAGGGAGTGGGGGGAAGAAGGAAAGGAAGGGAGGGGGAGGAAAGAGAGTGGGAGTTAGAGGGAGGGAAGGAAGGAAGGAAAGAAAGAGAGAGATGAAAGAGAGAGAGAGAGAAAGAAAGAAAGAAAGAAAGAAAGAAAGAAAGAAAGAAAGAGAGGGGAAGAAAGAAAGAGGAAGGGGGAAAGAAAATTGGGAGGGGGGGAAGGAAAGAAAGACAGAAAGAAAGAAAGACAGAAAGAAAGAAAGAAAGAAAGACAGAAAGAAAGAAAGAAAGAAAGAAAGAAAAAGAAAGGGGGGAGAGAAAGAAAGAAGAAAGGAGGAGAAAGAAAATTGAGAAGGGGGAAGGAAGGAAAGGGAAAGAAAGAGAGAGAGGGAGGGAGTGTGGGGAAGAAGGAAAGGAAGGGAGAGGGAGGAAAGAGTTAGTGGGAGTTAGAGGGAGGGAAGGAAGGAAGGAAAGAAAGAGATGAAAAAAAGAGAGAGAAAGACAGAAAGAGAGAGGGGGAAGGGGAAGAAAGAAAGAGGAAGGGGGAAAGAAAATTGGGAGGGTGCGAAGGAAGAAATGAAGGAAAGAAAGAGATGAAAGAAAGAAAGAAAAAAGAAAGAACAAAAGAAACACAAAGAGAGAAAGAAAACATACCAATTAAAAAAACACTTCGGAGAAAAACAACAAAACGAAAAGGAAACACAGAAGGAAACACGAAGAGCAGAAAAGAAACCACATTAAAACACAAACCACACAAACACAGGAAACACGAAGAAGAGAAACAGAACCAGGGAAACAACGAGCAGAAAAACAGAAAAATAAACCCACAAATCCGACCACCCAGAAGCGAAACACAAAATTCACCTTGTTTGTCCCCCGTCAAAACCCAAATCTTAATGTTGGCCAAGCTGAGAAGAGCCAAAGTCTCCGGAACTCCCTGCTGCAGTTTATCCTCAATGGCCGTGGCTCCCAGCAGCTGCAGAGCGGGAGAGAGAAAAACGTTCCGATTGTGTTACAGGGAGTCCTCGACTTACGGCGCTTCATTTAGTGACGGCTCCAAGTAAGAACGGCACTGAGAAAAACAACAACTGTGCGACGGGATCCAAATTCAGGCGCTCGGCTGCGACTCGTATTTACGACAGCCGGGAGGCCTGGATTCACTTAACAACTTAACAGAAACAGGCCAGATTCCCTTAGCGACGTTCTAAACAACGGAGCAAAGCTCACTGGAAATCTGGGGCTCGCTTGCGGTCGTAAGCCGAGGACCAGATTTTGGAGGAGTCTCCTTGTTTACGAGGAATTCAATGAAAAGAAATTGAAGACAGCGACAGGGCGAGATGGGGGGGGGAGGAAAGGGGGAAGGGGACGACGCCTGAAATAAAAAAAAGGGGAAGGGTCTCGGCACCCACCACCAGGTCGTTTTCCACCTCCTCGTAAAGCCGAGCGATCCGCTCCTCGCGGCCCTCGCCGTTAAGCGAGGCTTCCGCCAGCCGCTCAGCCCAGCCGGCGAAATATTTCTCCTCCAGGTCCCGATAGGCCAGCACCAAGGTCCGGAGACCCTCGCCCGCATATTCCTAGGATCAGGAAGAAATGGAGGATGGGAGGAGAGAAGCCCCCCTCCCCTCCTCCCCCCCCCGGTCTACTTTTTAGCATTATTGGCACCCTCACAAATAAAAGAGACCCTCCCCCCCGGGGGGGATTGTGGTTCACCTACGTTGAGATGGTCGGTAGTGACGTTGTAGAGTTCTTGATTGCCGGGGAAAAGCCTCTCCAACAGGATGATATCGGCCCCCTTGGAGTAAAGGCGTATCTGCCCTTCAGGATTCCTCACTGGGGGTGGGGAGAGAGGGAAGGAGAGAGGGAGGGAGGGAGGAAAGAAGGATAGAAGAAAGGAGGGGAGGAGAGGAGAGGGGGTGGAGGAGAAGGAGAACGGGAGGGTGAAGGAGAGGGAGAGGGAGGGAAGGAAAGGGGAAAGAAAAAGAAAGAAAGAAAAGGGGAAAGAAAAGAGGAAGAAGGAAAGAAGGAGAGGAAAGAAGAAAAGAGGAAAGAAGGAAGGAAGGAAAGAAGGAAAGGAAAGATGAAAGAAGGGAGGAAGGAAAGGAAAGAGGGAAAGAAAAGAGGAAAGGAGAGGAAAGGAGAAAAGGAAAGAGGAAAGGAAAGAAGGAAAGGAAAGATGGAAAGAGGAAAGAAGGAAGGAAAGGAAAGAAGGAAAGAAGGAAGTAAGAAAAGGAAAGGAAAGAGAGAAAGGAAAGAGGAAAGAAGGAAGGAAAGGAAGTAAGAAAAGGAAAGGAAAGAAGGAAAGGAAAGATGAAAGAAGGAAGAAAAGGAAAGAGGAACGAAGGAAGGAAAGGAAAGAGGGAAAGGAAAGAGGAAAGAAGGAAGAAAAGGAAAGGAAAAAGGGAAAGAAAAGAGGAAAGAAGGAAGGAATGGAGAAAAAGGAAGATAGGAAAGGAAAGAAGGAAGGAAGGAAAGGAAAGGAAAGAGGGAAAGAAAAGAGGAAAGAAGGAAGGAAAGAAGGAAAGGAAAGAGGGAAAGAAGAAAGGAAAGGAAAGGAGAAAAGGAAAGAGGAAGGAAGGAAAGAAAAGGAAAGAAAAAGGAAGGAAAGGAGGATAGAAAAGAAGGAGACGAAGGCAAGGACAGATATAAAATTGATTTACTCCTCATCAGGTTCTCCCTCACCTCTTCTCCCCCACAACAGCCCTGCAAGGTAGCCAAGCTCCCCAGGGGCCCCCTGACCCCCCTGGCCGTCGCCAGCCCTTCCTCACCAATGACGGACATTCGTTTGCGCACGTTGTTGAAGTCCAAAATGGCCAGAAGCTGGTAAGTGACCGGCCGTCCCAGTTCTTGCACCGTGATGGTTTTCGGGCTGCGGCCACGGAACACAAAGCCAAAATTGCGGGCGGCAGTCACCAAGGCCCCCTCGTCCGGAGACTGGGCTTTGTAGTACAATTCTCCGGCTTAAGGGAAGGGAGGGAGGAAGCGTGGAAGGGTGGAAGGAAGGAAGGAAGGAAGGAAGGAAGGAAGGAAGGAAGGAAGGAAGGAAGGGAAGAAGAGAGAGGGCGGGACAGAGGGAAGGAAGGAGGGAGGGAAGGAGGAGGGAAGAGAGAAGGAGAGGGAGGGAAGAGGGAGGGAAGGAAGGAAGAAAGGAATGATGGAGGGAAGGAAGGAGGGAGAATATTGGGAGGGAGAGGAGAGGGGGTGGAGGAGAGGGAGAGGAAGGGAAGGGGAAGAAAAGGAAAGAAGGAAAGAAAAGAGGAAGAAGGAAAGAAGGAAAGGAGGAAAGAAAAGAGGAAAGAAGGAAAGGAAAGAAGGAAGGAAAGGAAAGAAGGAAAGGAAAGAGATAGTGGGGAGGGATGGGTATATTGGGAGGGAGGAAGGAAAAGAGTGGTGAAGAGACAGAGGGAAGGAAGGAAGGAGGGACGATATTGGGAGGGAAGGAGGAAAAAAGGAGTGGAGAAGAGATAGAGGGGAGAGATGGACGGACGGAAGGAAGGAGGGAAGGAAGGAAGGAGAAGGGAAGAGGGAAGGAGAGGGAGGGAAGGGAGGAAGAAAGGAATGATGGAGGGAAGGAGGGAGGAAGAATATTGGGAGGGAGGGAGGAAAGAAGCAGTGGAAAAGAGATAGAGGGGAGAGAGGGAAGGGGATATTGGGAGGGAAGGAGGAAAAAAGGAGTGGAGAAGAGATAGAGGGGAGGGAGGATATAGGGAAGGAGGGAGGAAAGAAAGAAGAGAGAGGAAAGAAAGAAAGAAAGAAAGAAAGAAAGAAAGAAAGAAAGAAAGAAAGAAAGAAAATATATGAGTGCTTCCATCACACAATCCCTCATTTCCCCAACTTCTTCAGTTTCACAGCCTTTCAAAGCTCAGTTTCAGTTTCCCTTCCCAACCTGGGCACTTTTCTTCAGACATGACGGTGTGGCAGAGGGAGAGGAGCCGGAAAAACTCGTGGACGTGAAGGTCACCCAGCTTGACCGCTTCCAAAAGTCCGGTGTCCCAGAAGGTAAACGTGGGATCGGCCAGCGGGTTGAAGGAAAAATCCACCGGATCCATTTTCTTGCCGGGGGGAGGGGAGAGGAATCGGTGGTTAGAACCAGCTCAGAAGGTGCAGAAAAAAATTATCAACAGCCAAAAATACACCAGCTATAAACTGTCCATTTCTACCTAAGGTAAGACTAGAACTCCCAGTCTCCTGGTGATTGTCCTAAAGTCACCCAGTCGGCTTTTCTGCCTAAGGTAAGACTAGAACTCCCAGCCTCCTGGTGATTGGCCTAAAGTCACCCAGTCGGCATTTCTGCCTAAGGTAAGACTAGAACTCCCAGCCTCCTGGTGATTGGTCTAAAGTCACCCAGTCGGCTTTTCTGCCTAAGACTAGAACTCCCAGTCTCCTGGTGATTTAGCCAAAGTCACCCAGCCGGCTACCATGCCTAAGGCAGGACTAGAACTCCCAGTCTCCTAGTCATTGGCCCAAAGTCACCCAAGCCAGCTTTGGGGGCCTAAAGGCGGCACTAGAACTCCCAGTCTCCTGTTTTCTAGCCAGGTGCCTTAACCACTGGACCAAACTGCCGGCGTATTACCTTTCCGAGTTCAGCCTTGTATCCAAGATCATCCAGAGCGTCTCCTACGAAAAACAAACCGAGACTCAGAATTGAGGCAGTCCTCAAACTTACGACCATCATTCGCCGAGAGTGACGGAACGGAGACGGCGGAGGGACTACGGAAGGCTCACCGTAGCTGCGCCCGTTGATGGAGCACTTGCTGAAGACCATGATGTTCTGCGTGAGGGTCCCCGTTTTGTCCGAAAAGATATATTCCACCTGGCCCAGTTCCTCGTTTAACGTCGTGGTCCGGGCCTCGGCTGGCGTGCACCGTTTGGCGCAGTACATTTTCTTGTCCCAGTTGATGAAGTAGCTGTGGCCCAAACGGATGACCTCCACGCTAAAAAGGAGAGAGCAGGGAGGGTTGGGAACCCCAAAGCCCATGTGCCTTCACCCACCGAAAGGAGGCCCTCCGATTTCTCGCTTTTCCCCTTGATTTGATTCCGTTCGTTTCTTTCCTGGCTTTCTATGCCTCCCCCTCGCAGCTCACACTAAGTGGATTAAAAAAATATCCAATATTAAAATGATACATTAAAGACCACAAATTTAAAATTCAGATTTAAAGAACTTTTATGCTTTTGGACTACAGCTCCCATAAGCCCTTGCTGGCCAAGCCTCACAGGTGTTGAAATATAGATAGATGGATGGATAGATAAATAGATAGATAGATGAATATACAGATGATAAAGAGATGGGTGGATGGATGGATGAACAGATATACAGATGACAAAGAGAGATGGATGGATAGATAGATAAGATAGGTAAATAGATAAATGACAGGTGGATGGATGGATGGATGGATGGATGGATGGATGGATGGATGGATGGATGGATAAATGGACAGATATACAGATGATAAAGAGATGGATGGATGGATGGATGGATGGATGACAGATGGATGGACAGAAGTATGGATGATACTGATAGATGGATAGATAGAAATATAGATGGATGGATGGATGGATGGATGGATGGATGGATGGATGGATAAATGGACAGATATACAGAGGATAAAGAGAAGGAAGGAAGGATGGATGGATGGATGGATGGATGGATGGATCGACAGATATACAGATGACAAAGAGAGATGGATGGATAGATAGATAAGATAGATAAATGACAGGTGGATGGATGGATGGATGGATGGATGGATGGATGGACAGATATACAGAGGATAAAGAGAAGGATGGATGGATGGATGGATGGATGGATGGATGGATGGATGGATGGATGGATGGATGACAGATGGATGGATGGACAGAAGTATGGATGATACTGATGGATGGGTAGATAGAAATATAGATGGATGGATGGATGGATGGATGGATGGATGGATGGATGGATGGATGGATGGATGGATGGATGGACAGATATACAGATGACAAAGAGAGATGGATGGATAGATAGATAAGATAGATAAATGACAGGTGGATGGATGGATGGATGGATGGATGAATGGACAGATATACAGATGACAGAGAGATGGATGGAAAGATAGATAAGATAGATAAATAGATAAATGACAGGTGGATGGATGGATAAATGGATGGATGGATGGATGAATAAATGGACAGATATACAGATGATAAAGATGGATGGATGGATGGATGGATGGATGGATGGATGGATGGAGAGATATACAGAAGATAGATGGATGGGTAGATAGATAGATATAGATGGATGGATGGATGGATGGATGGATGGATGGATGGACGGACAGATATACAGATGACAGAGAGAGATGGATAGATAAGATAGCTAAATAGATAAGTGACAGGTGGGTGGATGGATGATCTATACAGATGATAGAGAGATAGGTGGATGGACAGATAGATATAGACGGACACACGAGATAGAGACAGACAGACAGACAGACAGACAGATGATAGAGGGACAGAGCAAAATGATGATTGACAGATAGATAGATAAATAGATAAGAGAGAGAGAGAGAGAAAGAGATGCTGATCAGATTTGCTTTCTGGGAGGGTTGGATGACAAGAGCTGATTGTCCCTCAGCCTCAGCCCTCTAAGAAGGACTGCTCCTTCCCATGGAGGCTCTCTTCCTTCGGCTGAGATGCTTCAGGGGCATCCTTACTTCTTCATTAAGGGGGAAGGTCTGCTTGAGTGGGTCCACAGGAAATGAGCCATCCATCAAAGAACAGCCCCCCTGCGGGGGGGGGGGGGGGGGGGGGGAGGAGAACAAAGGGAGCCGGAGGAATGGGGAGGAGGGGGTGTCACGGGGCTCTGATTTTACTAGGGCCTTGGAAGGAGGGGAGGGGGGTTGGGGGAGGGAGGCAGGAAATGCAACAAGCCAACATCAAAGGGGAGCTTGGAAAAACACGGGAAGGAGACCTCTTACTTGGAGGGCTGCGGAGCGAGAAAGAAACAGCCATGCAGGAAAAACCAAAAGAAAAAGAGATTAAAAAAAAAAGAAATGGATGGGGAAAAAAGAGGAGAGGAATGAGGAGAGAAGAGAGGAGGAGGGAAAAAGAGGGGAGGGAAAGAAAGGAAAGAACGGGAAAGGAAAAGAGAAGGAAAGGGAAGGGAAGGGAAGAATGGAAAAGGGAAAGAGAAGGAAAAGAAAGAGAAGGAAAGAATGGAAAAGGAAAAGAAAGGAAAGGAAAGAATGGAAAAGGAAAAGAGAAGGAAAAGAAAGGAAAGGAAAGAATGGAAAAGGGAAAGAGAAGGAAAAGAAAGGGAAGGAAAGAATGGAAAAGGAAAAGAAAGGAAAGAATGAATGGAAAAGGAAAAGAGAAGGAAAAGAAAGGGAAGGAAAGAATGGAAAAGGAAAAGAAAGGAAAGGAAAGAATGGAAAAGGAAAAGAGAAGGAAAAGAAAGGGAAGGAAAGAATGGAAAAGGAAAAGAAAGGAAAGAATGGGAAAGGAAAAGAAAGGAAAGAATGGAAAAGGAAAAGAGAAGGAAAAGAAAGGAAAGAATGGGAAAGGAAAGGAAAGAGAAGGGAAAGGAAAGGAGACTCACCTGACGTAGAGAGAGATGGGAACGACGGTGTTGAGGATGATGATGTAAGACCAGAAGGCCAGGAACCCCGACAGAAAGGCGTTGTCCACCACTTTGTCCCACGGCAGATAAATCTGGAAGCAGACTCCCACTTCGTACTCCCAAATGGAGTTGCCGATGGCCAGGATCACCCCCATGCAGACCAGGAACCCGAAAATCTGCCGGCGGGAAGACCACAGTTCGGTTCGGACGAAGCGGGGAGAAGGGGTGTGGGGGAGAAGCAGGACGGTGTCCAGCTTTATCCCCTCTATCTCCTGCCCCTTTTTATCGAGTTGCGGTCAATTCCACGTTTGAGGATGTCAATTTCAACAGCTGAGTTTGGGCAAAAGAGCAGAAAGGAGGAAGCCGCAAGATGGCGTCCCTCTTGGTCCCCTGTTACGTGAACTCCCCTCTATTTTTCCAGCCGTTTTCATCCACGCGTGGTCAATTCCACGTTTCGGGATGTCAATTTCAACAGCCCCCGTTTGGATCAAAGCTCCAGAAAAGGAGAAGCGGGATGGCGTCCCTCTTTGTCCCCAACCACATACGATCCTCTCCATCTCCTGGCCATTTTCATCCACATGTGGTCAATTCCCCATTTCAAGAGGTCAATTTCAATACTTCCCTTTGGACAAAGGAGCAAAAAAGGGAGAAACTGCAAATTGGTGTCCCTTTGTGCCCACCTACGTGAGGTCCCCTCTCTCTCTCCTGGCCCTTTTCATCCATATGTGGTCAATTCCACATTTCAGGATGTCAATTTCAACAGCTCCGTTTTGACAAAATAGCAGAATGGGGAAAGTGGGATGGCGTCCCTCTTTTTCCCCACTACCTGAGGTCCTCTCTCTCTCCTGGCCCTTTTCATCCACATGTGGTCAATTCCCCATTTCAAGAGGTCAATTTCAATACTTCCCTTTGGACATAGGAGCAAAAAGGGAGAAGCTGCAAGATGGTGTCCCTTTGTGCCCACTTACATAAGGTCCTCTCTCTCTCCCTCTGGCCCTTTTCATCCATATGTGGTCAATTCCACATTTCAGGATGTCAATTTCAACAGCTCCATTTTGATAAAAGAGCAGGATGGGGAAAGCGGGATAGCATCCCTCTTTCCCCCCACTACCTGAGGTCCTCTCTATCTCCTGGCCCTTTTCATCCCCGTGTGGTCAATTCCACGTTTCAAGAGGTCAATTTCACAAGATCCCGGATTAGACCTCAGATCCACTCGGGCTCTGCCCCCGGACAGCTTTTGAGTAATCCAGAACGGTGGTTAAAGAACAGAACTAATTTCCCTGAGGTTGAGATGGAAGGAAACGGCTTCCCCTACATTCTCCGGGACGACCACCCTGCAGAGCAGGACAAGGGCTGGACTGCCCCCTGGTGGAGCGTTCCCGGAAAATCCTCCGCCCCTGTTTCTCATCCGGGAAACTAAAAGAGCCTCTAGTCCCAGAGCAGGGGAAAGGCAGCCTCTGCGTCCCCAAGAGAGAGCGCAGAGCACTGAGTTCGAAACACGGGCACGGGGTTGGAGGGGAACACCTACCCAAAGTACCAAAGTATTCATCAGACGGTCGATGCTAGTCCTCTTGAATTTCGTGCGCCCGCTGTTTTGCATTAATTTGGTGTCGGGCCCTGCCGAAGGAGAGAATCGAAGAAGTAATTTATGCCTCTCTCCCAATTCTGAATTTATTTTTATTTCGATTATTTCTTGAATTTATCGGACGCCTCTCTGGTTACGCAACGAATCTGCGCGGAGGGTCAAATTAATTTTCAAAGATTTACTTTAAAAAAAAAAGAAACCAGCACTTCGAATAAGTCAGAGATAGATTAACAGAGTTGGAAGGGACCTTGTGGGTCATCTAGTCCAACCCCACCCCCTACCCAAACAGGAAGACCGAACATTATCTCCGACAAATGACTTAAAAAATATTAAGAAAATATTTATGGGTAATCCTCGATTTACGGCCACAATTTTTGCGCCCTGTGCAGGGTGGCTGGTTCAATTTTATGACGTTAGGGGTGTGTGCGTGTAATATAACGACCACTGCAGTTGTTAAACGAATCAGGCCGTCCTTAAGTGAATCCGGCTTCCAACTTTGCTTGTCGGAAGCCGGCTGGGGAGGTCGCAAATCACGTGACTCCAGGACCGCCGTAAATACGCACAAATGCCAAGTGCCGCTAAGCGGGGAACACCATCGTTAAGCAAATCCGGCTTCCACATTTGAATTTGCCGGTCGCAAAAGAGGGATCACGTGACCACCCCCTCCCCCCCCCGGGGACGCTGCGCCTGTCATAAATACGAGTCAGTCGCCAAGTGTCTGAATTCTGATCCCGTGAGCTCGGAGGAGGGGGGAGGAGATGCTTCAATGGTCATAAGTGCGAGGACTGGTTGGAAGTCGCCTTTTTCGTTGTCGTTTCGAACTGAAAACTAACCGTACTTGGATTTGGTAAAGGCGATTCTGCCTACCTGCGAAGATGACCAGGCCGAAGCACCACTCGGTGTTACGAAGGACGCAACCTCGCAGCAACATGTTTTGATTGCTGAGGGGGTATTTGCTGTCTTTCCAGTAAAGCGTCCCGCCGAATTTGTCGAGTTTGTTGTTAGGTGGCTCGCAAACCACCTCTCCTGAAATTTAAAATTAAAAAAAAAATGGCCAAGGAAATCGCTTACCGATAGTCCTCGTTTAATGGGGGTCGTTGGGCCGGGAATTTCCGTCGCTAAGAGGGTGCGGTTGCGAAATGTGACGTTGCGTGGCTGCACCCTTTAGCGACGGCAGTTGTGGCATCGTTCAGCGAGGACAGCACAGGTCACGAAAGGAGGATCTTGCGTGGCCACGACTTTCGACTTCCCGCAGGCTTCCCCATTGAATTTGACTCGGCAAGGAAAATCACAAATCGTAATCACAGGACTGGAACAGACAGAACTTTTGAGGACTAGTCATTAAGTGGCACTTTGGCCGAGCCCCGTTTGAACAGCCTCTGAAGGAGCGGACGTTAAGTGAGGACTGCCTCGGTGCTGAGCTCTCGTTGGAGATATAAATCAAGATAACATGCAATCTTAGGAAGCTGCTAGGGATTGGATTGGGGGAGAGGGCATTAAATATAATAATAATAATAATAATAATAATAATAATAATAATAATAATAATAATAATAATAATAATGAATTTTACCATCAAAGTGTGCCAGGTTGTTGGTGTCAATCAATTCAGATGTCACCGGGATAGACTGTCGGACTTTCATATTGGTCTCCCTGAGGAGAAAAGTAGTTTAATCATGGCCAGGAAGAGAGGAGAATTCTAGTTCGCAGGACTTAAAGCTGCCAATTTTCAGAAACAGGGAAATTCTGGGAGTTCTAGTTCGCAGGACTTAAAGCTGTCAATTTTTAGAAACAGGGGAATTCTGGGAGTTCTAGTTCGCAGGACTTAAAGCTGTCAATTTTTAGAAACGGGGGAATTCTGGGAGTTCTAGTTCACAGGACTTAAAGCTGCCAATTTTCAGAAACAGGGAAATTCTGGGAGTTCTAGTTCGCAGGACTTAAAGCTGTCAATTTTTAGAAACAGGGGAATTCTGGGAGCTCTAGTTCGCAGGACTTAAAGCTGCCAATTTTCAGAAACAGGGAAATTCTGGGAGTTCTAGTTCGCAGGACTTAAAGCTGTCAATTTTTAGAAACGGGGGAATTCTGGGAGTTCTAGTTCGCAGGACTTAAAGCTGCCAATTTTCAGAAACAGGGAAATTCTGGGAGTTCTAGTTCGCAGGACTTAAAGCTGTCAATTTTTAGAAACGGGGGAATTCTGGGAGTTCTAGTTTGCAGGACAAAGCTGCCAATTTTCAGAAACTGGGGGAATTTTGGGAGTTCTAGTTCGCAGGACTTAAAGCTGCCAATTTTCAGAAAC